AAGCCATCCATCAGGAGGACTGAGGAGAAATCAGAACTGTGTTTTTAAAGTTACTTTTCACCCAGCTTCTAAATTTATACACACACATACACACACACACACACACACAATGTGTATGTATATACATACATACATAATACATACACAACCATACAACACACACTTTCTTTTTTAACTGATAGACCGAGGGACTTAAAAAAAATCACTAACCATCTCATCCAGCAATGACTGGGGTGCTCAGTGATCATAGGATTTATAGCACTTTTTCAATCCCTCGGTGAACGTCATTTTTTTTTTTAAGTGAAAATGCTTCGGTCAATCTGAGTCAAGAAACTAGAGGGAGATTTTTTTGGGGGGGCAGGTAAGTGATAAGCTCTTCCTGTTTTGTTTTTGTATTTTAAAAGCACAGACGGGCACCCACTGCCGAAAGCGCACACAACCTTGGGGTCCTCGGCATGGTGATGAACTCAACGATGGGGAGAGGAGTTAACATCTCCTTCCACAGTAGCTACAGCCACACACTACCGAGCCACAGACATCAATACTACTACACATTTGCAAAAATAATCCTTTTCAAAGTCTCTTTACAGGTACATACATCGTACAGGGAAAGAAAAAGGAACACACACGCATACACGACAACAAAACAACAACAACACCACCTCACCTTGCCTAAGAAGTCGGAGGGAAAAGTTAGGAAAGAAGACAGAAAACCTAAAGTCCCCGAGGCTACAGAAAAATCCCGCTCTTGAGAAGCCGCCCCAGAGACCAGCCGGGGAATGTACGGCTTTCAGAAACACTTCCCATCTTATTTGCACTTAACCTATTGATGTACTTATGCAGGTCACTTACTTTGGAATATGTTTGAACCGTTTTAAATCGTGCAGATCGCCGCGATTTTCACTTGGGTTTGCAAACAAGTTTCATGGAGGAAGGAGGAGGAAGAAAAAAAAAAGATCCAATTATGCAAATCTGCTCCGGGATAGGTGGTGAATATTCAGTATGACGAGGCTACTGTAATAGTTCAATGCAACACACTGTACTGGACAGATTTATGGGGGCGCGTCACCACTACGCCAGGTCCTGCTCGCCAGATCATCTTGAAGTTAATTAAAGCCGTAATGTCCACTTTCTCAGCGACCCTCCTTACTTGGGTTTACTATTTCAACTACAAAGCTGGGGGCGGGGGTGGGGGGAGACCTTGCTCGCTCTCCTTTCTTTTTATCTCCTTTCCCCCTCCTCCTTTCTTACTCTCTTCTTCCTCTTTTTTTCACTCTCCTCTTCCCCCCCCCCTTCCCTTTCCTCCTAGAAGTTACCTTCCACTTTAGGAACGAAGATTTGAGCTATAGGAAAAGAGATTTTTAAAAATAACCCAGAGGATTAAGTAAATCTGGTCTTAAGTAATAATATAGTTGCTACTCTGAACCTAGAAAAGAAATCGTTTTGGCCCTGGTGAATCTCTCCTCTTCTGCCTGCCCGCCCGCTCCTCGCCCCCCACCCCTTCCCCAAGTTTGTCAAACCCTTTTGTAGTGTGCCTCAAAGCAGCCAGTCCTCTTCTTTTTGTGGAAGCTGCTAAACTTAATTATGACACTTAAAAATAATCATTCGTTCATCGCCTCCCCAACCCTAACCTTTTAACTCCTCCCTCCCCCCAACACAAACCCAAACACTCTCCCTTCCCGCCCCGGTCTCTCCCCTCCCCTCCGCTGGCGTCCACTCCACCCCTGGAAGCTGGACTACCGCTATCTCTATCAACGGGTCAAATCAGCTCAGCAAACACGGCCCCTGTTGGATTTATTTTAAACTGCACAGCCCTGTGAGAAGCACTCACTGCATGCTGAAGCACAGACAGACAGTAGTAACACACACACACATACACACACACACACACACGCACGCACGCACACATACACGCGCGCGCGAGCGCGCGCACATGCACACACACATACACACACATTCGCTCTCATACACTCTCCTTAGGATGGGGGGGGGGGGTTGGTTATAGAGACCAGCTTCTCTACAACTGCTTGGTATCGGCGTCGTGTTATTCTCATTGTCTGTCCGTGCTTTCTGCATAACAAACGGAGCCGGCAGGCTCTGCTCGCTGGGTCTGGCTCGTAGGGACTCCTTTAAGCCAACTCATTTTCTGCTGAAGAGCAATGAGAAATCACGTCTTCTCCTAGACACTATTATAGACATAACAATATCCTCCCAACAAAACCTCTTCTGCAATAACACCCGGGCACACAAATAGGCTGTTTACTGTTACTCCCCATGCCTCCTCTTCCTCGGAGCCCCTCCCTCTCCATTTAAAGCAAAGCCCCCCAACCTTACCAGACCCATCCCTTATCTTCTTTCCCCCCAGTCCAACAGCCCCCCCCACACGTAAAACGCAAACATTTACCAAACCCACGGGGTCCTCTAACTATTTCGCCAAGAGACAGATTGCAGACACCGATTCACGGATGCAGAAGTCAAAAAAACTTAACTTTCCACCTGTCCCCAAAGAAATCTCTTCTGTAGTTTCCCTAGAAGACTCTGACACCAAAAAAAAAAGAAAAGAAAACCTCCATCCCCCGCCACACCTCCCACCACCTTCTCCCCCCCTTTTTTTTTAAAGTTCGCTGGAGTCTCCGTTTCAACCTTCCCTCACATTATATACATCTATCTATATACATAGAGTCTATATTTTAAATTATTTGCAAAACTGCAACAGATGGGCGCATTGAGATCTGGATTCTTTCCTACTCGTCATCAAAGAAAAGCTCTCTCTCTTTTCCTCTCATTTTTTTTTTTTGCCTAAAATATATCCCGGGTCCCGCCTACGACTGTTTTCCTTAATTCTTCATCTTTGCAAAATAATTCGCAAAGCAAAGCAGAGGCATTATCAGGCAAAGATCTTTACTGTCCAGTTCTGCATTCGAGGTGGGGGGGGGCGGCGGAGGTGAAGAGCTGGGGGAGCGGCATTCCAGTCTGTCTCCATCGTCACTTTCCCAATACCTTCTCCCTTCTCCTCATCCCCAGCACCCACATTTCTACCCCGCGTCCCCCTCCCACTCCTAATTTCCTTCCCCTTCCCGCCCCCCCATAGGTCCCCACCCCAAATCCTAGCTTCTGTCCTTATTCCTTCCTTCTATATCTTGCTCCCTCTCTCAAAGCCTGGACATCTAAGTTTCCTCTAGAACCTGTTACTTTTTTTTTTTTAATCTACGGTGCTTGGATATTTAAAAAAAAAAAAAACCGGCCCGGATTTGAGGCTGACAGGTGCTCCCTGGCTCCCGGGCAGTGTTTGCAGGCAAACTCTCCTTTACCTGAGCTCCAAAGGTTTAAACCCAGAGCTGACATTTAGTGCATACTTGAATGTCACAACGTTCGCTCAAAGCATTATGCACGGCTCCCTATTCATAAGAGGTCGATTAGAGCACAAAATGGCAGGTCTCCCCGGCACTTGAATCTCACAAGTTTGACACATGGTATGCATCAGCTAACTTTGATTAAAAAAAATGGTTACAAATTACACTCCGGCTGAGCCGGAATCCTGCAAGGCAGAGGCAGAGAAGGGAGGAGAGACAGAGATAGAAGAAAGAAGGGAGGGAAAAAAATGTTTAAAAGTCACTTCTGCAAAAGTTTACTAGGGCTACAGCCTTTTCTCTCTCACCCCCTTCTCACTCCCCCACTGCCCCCTCCAAAAGTTTCTCTGGGAACTTAAGGACAGACCCGCTTAGATTGGGGGGGGCGGAGAACAGAACGGGGGACGAAAAGTGGGAGGGGGTAGAGAAAGAAGATAGAGCCTGGATCCCCTCTCGCAGCTGCCTTCTGAAAATCCGGGGCAACTCTTCTGCAAAGTAACGGTTTAGGGGCTTGGGCGGGGGCTGGGGCTGGAGTGGGGGTGGGGTGGGGGGAGAGAAGGAGGCGAGACAGACGGGGCTCTTTCTCTCCAGCCTAAGTTCTATAGCGCCATTCAATGGCTCCTCGCCTCCTTTCATTATTTTCTCCTTCTCCCCTGACAGCCCTTCTTGCAAACGTCACAGCTATGGATATTTAATTATACTGTATTTTTTTTAATCACGGTGGAAAAAAACGGCAGGCCTCATTGCGATGGGGGGGGGTGGGCGGAGAGGGGGGGAGGGTGAAATGCAAAGAGTCCAAACTCACTTTGCCACCTCTCGGACACTGGTTCCGGAGCCCCCCGCCCCCCCCACCCCAGGCACCTCCGCGAGCCCCCTCCACCTTTGTCTTCCTTACCTTAAACACTTAAAGAAACGAGTAGGGAGCAAACTCCGGCACGTAAACGAAGCGTTGTAAAAGATTGTGTTCAATGAATAATGAGGCATGTCCACATGATTGACTTGATCATTTTCTAGGGCTGAGGGGGGACAGGCGCTGCTCCGAAGTGCCACGGTCGCCCGCTCCCGAAAGCCCTTCTAACTGTTTCCAACACATCCCGAGGAAAGAGTGCTTTATTTTAATCTGTCTCTTTTCAGAATAACCCTGTTCATCGATACTAATCATCCAACATCAGAAGACATTCCCATCTTTCAGCTCGGACTCCCCCTATCTGGTAGGTGGAATGCATTGTACCATTAAAAAACCTCTCCATTGTCGTCTTGGCATAATTCACAGCAACTAGATAGGTCTTGCGGCATTTAGCTTTGATGAGCCAAAAGCTGAACCCTTGATATAATAATCTACAAAGAATGGTGTGTGATCGTCCATTTTTTCTCTCTGTCTAGCAACTAAGAAACCATTTAACACAGCGCAGCTTGGTTCTGACCTTGAGCTCATGTAAACACACTTATTAAAATCTATCTATTCTCTAAGAGCTACATTCTGATTGTCAGACTCGTTACTCAGACATATATCAGCCCCTTCGCCTGTCATTACTTTGCATCCCTGCCTTTGACTAAAGAATTTTTTATCGAGAGAGAGAGAGAGAGAGAGAGAGAGAGAGAGAGAGAGAGAGAGAGAGAGAGAGAGAGAGAGAAAAGCGTAATTCTTACCTGCTCCTGAAACTATTTAAAGTCTGTCTCTTTTTAAAAAAAAAAAAAACTCCCCGGTGAATCTTGGTGGACAGCGGGACGTGCAGCATCAGTCACAGCTCCGGCGTTTAAGAGAAGTAATCAGCGATAAAGTGACGTTGATCTGCGCTCTAACCTTGTGGCGTATTTAATGTAAATAAGCCAGTTATGTTACCAATCGCATAGATACAAACACATAAAGGTCTTCAGCATCGCCTTCCCATTCTCTTTCCATGAGAGCCGACTTTATTTACAGACACTATTTAGGGGATCATGATAATTCTAAAACAATACTAGTGCCAAATGATTATGAAAATATGATTTTAATTAATCACGTAGTAGGCAAGGAAATTAGCATACGGTAATTAAACTTAGGGAAAAAACGTCATGGACGTTCTCTGCCTTATGGGTCCAGAATAATCATTAAACGATGGGTTTCAGGACTTAATTATCAAGCAAATAACTTTTTTAAAGCAACTTTGCAAGGTTTATCCTGAGGGCAAACGCTTTTAGCAAATAATATACAACCAGCAAAAAGCAAGGTGCCAATGTGCAATAGGTTATGTTTCTACAAAGCAGGGAAGAGAGAGGGAAGAAGGAAAAGGGCTGAATAATGCAAGTATGGATTCTATGTCCTGTAGTTGACAAAAGCCTTGGTACCTCAATAGACTCTTTGTTATGGGATTATATAATGATTGTGGGGGTAATTATGGGAAAAAAGATTTAGTAATAATACAAAAGTATCAAAATACGCCAATGAGCAGCTTGTTTTAAAAGAAAAGACTCGCTTGTGACATTAGGGGCATGTTAATAACAGAAAGGCAGGATCCGAAAGAGTTGGCAAATAAAAAAGGAGAGAGAGAGAGAAAGCCTGTGATGCGCATGGTTAAGAAGCGATGGAGACAGATTGATTATTCCAAATGCCGAGCCACAGGGACACTTAAAACATTGATTCAGGTAAGACTAGTTTCATCTTGACTGAAATGAGTTCCCCGAAGATGACTGGCATACATTTTAAATCAGTTTACTACAACAATACAGTATTAAAAAAAAAAAGGCACAACATCTCAGGCAGAAAGCTTCCAGTTTAAAAGAACTGTCCAGGAAGAGGGGGGGAGTGTAGGTTGGAAAACTTTGTGTTTCTCTCTTGTTTCCCAATGAGATAGTGGCCTTGCAATGAATGGAGGAGCAAGAGAGAGAGAGAGAGAGAGAGAGAGAGAGAGAGAGAGAGAGAGAGAGAGAGAGAGAGAGAGAAGGGGAGGGAAGGGAAGGGAAAGGAAGGGAAGGGAAAGGAAAGGAAGGGAAAGAAGAGAAAGGAAGGGAAGGGAAATAAGGAAAAGGAAGGGAAAGAAGAAAAAGGAAAGAAAGGAAGGGAAGGAAAGGGAAAAGAAGGGAAGGGAAAGAAGGGAAAGGAAGAGAAAGAAGGGAAAGGAAGGGAAGGAAGGGGAGGAAAGGGAAGGGAAGGGAGAAAAGAAGAGAAGAGGGAAGATAGAAGAGAAGAAAAAAGGAAGAAAACAGAACAGAGAAAGAAGACAAGGGAAGGGAACAGAAGACAGGAAAGGGAAGGGAAGGCAGGGAAAGGGAAGGGAAGGGAAGGAGAAGAAGAAGGGCAGGTCCCCTCACCTTCTTCTCCACGGGACTCTTCTCACCCACCCTGAGGACCTAAGGTCAGTCCAGCGTCTGAACCAATCTCAGACGCTTACATGAATGAAGGGTGTTATTGCTCGCACCCTGTCATAGGAGAAAGTATCTTTCACAAGATACTCTTTCACATGAATCTTAAATTCACTTCCCCCAAAAAAAAATGACTGGGGAAAATTAAGGTTTCCACAACATGCAAAATAAAGTGAGATTTGGGAACAAAGCTTGATCTGAGTTAGCCAGTGGTGTTACCAAATAAATAAATAAATAAATAAAAGATTCCCATGCCTATACGAAAAAGTTTAAGCATTCACTCTGCATTTTCCAATTTGATGTGTCTGAAATTCTCTTTGAACAAATTCCAAAATACAAGTTTTTTTTTTCTATAGAAATTTGCATAGCAATCACATCCATAATATCACTATCTCTATGGGGATGATAACTGGAGCAGTGGGGTGTTCTTTATTTCAATTCTTCGTGGATCAACTGATTATATTCTGTCTTCTTTTGAACTTGTTATTGTAAGTCAAGTGATCTTTTATAAGTGACAGCCTGACAAAGAGACGAGGATGGGAAAGCAGGTTGAAAGGAAGTAGCCATATGGACTTTTTAAAAGGCACTTTTTACACCAGATAATAGGGAAATGGATGTTGCTTTTTAACCCTCTAGAGGCTGAACACTTCTGCAGCCCTCAGAAAGAGGCCGAAAGTTGGTGGGCACTAAGAAAGGGGTATTTACCCTCTAGGTGGGGCTCCCCCTCCCCACAGGCAAATACAATCCTAGCTCCCATCCTCACTCCCAGTTGGCTGAGTGACCTTGGCAACCAACACTGACCTGCTAAGGTACCTGGAGTAGGGTGTGGGAAAGTTAGTGAACTGGGGTCTCTGATGCCTCATTAGTCATTAGCCCACATTAGCTAGGGAAAGTTCATGGTTCTAAGACCAAGGCACTGTATCTGGGTGTGAAGGCCACTTGGGCAACTGTCCCTCATACCTGTGTGGGATGAAAATGAAGGAGAACTTCCAGGCCCTGGTCCACATCCTAGTCATCTCTGATCTCCCTTTTTGAGTTGTGGTTTTATTCTCTCCTTTCACTTCCTCCTTCCCTCCCCCTACCACTAGAAAGGTTAATTAAGGATGGACAAAGGAGATTCAGAAGTTTTCAGGCACAAAAGTGCACATTGAATGGCGCTGAAAGAAGAATTTAGGGACCAGAGTCTTGAGGAGAGACTGTTTGCCCTGCCTGAGTGTGCCCCTGGGGTTCCCCCAACTCCAGGGAAAGGAGGACTGGAAGGAAAGGAAAGCAGATAAGAAGCGGGAAAGGTTAAGGAGAGGGGAGGGAGGAAGGGCAGAAGGGTAAAGGAGACAGAAGGACAAGGACCTGGACAGAGACAGAAAGAGACAGGAGCTGGAGCAGAGGAAACCTTGAATGGGAAGGGGGGAAATAAAAGAGGAAAAGAAGGAGTGGGAGGATGGAGATAAAAGGGAGAGGAAACATCACCCAGGGAGGTGGCAGGTGAGAAGAGAAGGATGGGCCTCGGAGGTCTCCCTAAAAAAGAAGCAGAGAAGAGGACCAGGGAAGCTAGGGATCCAGGGGAAGCAGGCAGGCTGGAAATGCTTCTTTAGGGTAGGGAACATGCTTTAGCGAGGAAGGGGCGCTAGGACTCCTGGCGCCCCCTGCTGGCGTTTGGGAACTCTCCGAATTTAGGAAACCTACCTGACCACTGTACAGTGAGGCTCAGGTCAACTTTGAGTGTGGGGTGGGTCTCCATTCGAGGTGCTGGACAGTGAAGAACAGAACGTCTTCCTCCAGAGGCTAGAACTAAGCCTCTAGGAACAAAGTATCATCTCCAATTCTCTTCTCACAGCACTCCTCTTTATTTCTTCATTTTTCTAGTTTGAGCCAGAGTCCCCTCTAGAAAGCTGCCCCCTCTACATAGATGCTCCTTCAAACCAAGCATTCTCATTGTCATCTTCCTTATCACTGTCATGATCTAGCATCTATTCTATAGCCCTCCAGGTGGGCCATTAACAGAACCTTGAGGTCTTCATCCCTATCTTTGTGGCACAAATGCTCTGTCTGGAGCTCTCCCTTCTTTATCCTTCATCATCTTCAGGCTTCTCCAGCACCTGCCCCCAGAACTCACTCACCCTCCTCTCTTCCATATGCCAAAGCCTCCTTGCTTATTTATTTTTCCTTTACTCCTCCAGAAAAGTTTCTACTCCTCCCTTTACTTACATTTCTCCCTCTTCCACTCTCCTTTCCCTCTCTTCTTTCTCTTTCATTCAGGAGGCAGCTTAGTGCAGGAAAAAGAATGCTGGGTTTGGAATGAGAGAATCAGGGTCTCAGTTTATTCCTGTGAAAAATGAAGGGGTTGAACTAGATAGCCTCTAAGGTCCCTTTCAGCTCTAAAATGTTTGGTTCTATTTTCATCATTTGTGTACTCCTATTTGTCCTTTCTCTTTTTTAATTCTCAGCATCTGCTCCAATCTCTATATGATCAAAAATACCCTCTTCCCTGCCTTCTTCCTCTTTCACAAGTGCAAGTCTATCTATATAAAAGGTAGGACTAGGAAGCCATTTGACTGAGTTCTCAGCGAATGGATCAAAATTTACACACTGAAGTGAGTACCATTTTCTTTAAAGTGGTTCCCCTGGGGTTGGGGAGGGTGGTGGTAAGCTATATATACATATAATCATTGATCAGAACCTTTGGGGATCTGCCCTTTGGGAGTTGCCTTCAAAGCCTTACTCAAATTCTATTAAATATCTTAAATGATGGGAAATTTTCCTCCTCTGAGGATATTTTTTTAAAGAACAGTCAAAAATAATTAGGGGTCAAATAGGGAGAAGACAGTAGGGTATCAAGCTAGGTAGTATAGTTTGGGGGTGACTATAAAATAATGAAACCGATATATTTATTTAGCTCAGAAATTGACTCTGGAGGACTCTCCCCAGGGAGGAGTTCCAAAAATGTATTAAGAAGTGGAAACATCATTAGGAACTACTTTAAAAGACCACTTTTATTTGTAGATGTAAATTCTGGAGAGAACACTGGATTTTGACTCAAAGGATACGGATTCAAATCCCAGCTCTGCTACTTACAATCTTTATGATCTTGAGTGCATTACTTCACATCTCTGGGTTCTGATTATCATCTGCAAAATGAACGGGTTTATCTAGACAGCTTCCAAGGTGTCTTCCAGTTCTAATTCCTTTGGTACTGCTTATATATTAGTCAGTCAGCCTCAATCCTTTGTACTCATACCTCCCATACCACATTCCTTATTTCCATTGGGTTTCCATTTTCTTACTCTCCCTTTTACTTTCTGCGCTTCTTTCAACTTTTTTTCTCTCCTCTTATCTGTTTCAGCAAGGGGGGAAAGGCAAATATTAGGTCATTCAAAGAATGAATTTGATGGGGGAGGCAGGGGAGGAGAGACTAGGACAGAAAGCCTCCCAAGAAGAGAGGGCCTCTATTCACCCTAGGAATGGACAGATCGAGTGCTGCTGATATACAGTAACTTTAAGGATAGC